TTCCCTCCGGCGCCGTGCACTCTTCTTCCCGTGAGGAGGCGGAAAAGTAGCCAGGACTCCCGACGGCGGCTCGCACGGGTATCCCTGTTCCGAGGAGAAGGCAAACTCGGGGCTGCTGTCCCGTAGACGCTGTTTCACACCCACCCGCACCCCGTTGGGTGTGACTTGCGCTGTCCTTCTTGGCCCCTCCTTTTGAGGAGAGAGAGAGAGAGAGAGAGACATAGGATCGCGGGTGGCAAGGGCTCATTTCGCGGGACGAGGAGACCAAACTTTTGGGGCTGGGCGGCGGGAAGTCTAGGCTGCAGCCGCGGGGGGGGGGGGGCCGGGCAGCGGCAGACAAGACGCCTGGCTCCTAAAAGGTCTACGCTGCGAGGCGAGGCGCTTTGGGGCGGGTTTCCCGCGCCTTTTCCTCGCCGCGCCGGTTCCACTGCCTGGAGGATGGAGTGGGGCAGCCTGGGCGGTGTCGAGCCCCGTCCCGCCGGTTCCCGGGAGACGTGACTCTCTCTCCGGTCAGACCAGCGACCTTCCTCGAGACCTCCGCTTGGTCATTCCTGCCCGGCCAGGAACATGAGCCCGTGAGCCTCTCCCGCAAAAGCCGCCCCTTTCCCCGCGCTGCACCGACGGGATCCTCGGCGGGCTCCGGGTGTTTCAAGAGGGGGTCGCGGGAGAAGAGGGAGGAGGGCGCGCTTCGAGAAGCAGGCGGCGGCGGCGGCGGCGGCGGTCATGGGGGCCAACGAGACGGGAGGCTGGGCTCCCAACTGTACCGCTCATCCCACTCCGGAAGCGGAGCCGGACTACAACTTCGCCGCCTTGGTCTTCGGAATCTTCCTCATCCTCTTCATCATCAGCGGGAACCTGTTGGTGTGCCTCAGCGTCTGCACGGAGAAAGCCCTGAAGACCACTACCAACTACTTCATCGTCAGCCTAGCCGTGGCAGACCTCCTCTTGGCCATCCTGGTGTTGCCCCTCTATGTCTACTCTGAGGTAAAGTAGACCCGCCCTGCCGCCCGGGCCCCTTCTCTGCCGACCTTTCCCCCTTTTCGCACCAGAGGGTCCTTATTGCCGCACAATCTTGTAATAATTTCTCTTTTCAAAGGAAAGACATCGTATCAGTATCCCTTAGTTTATGCTTTTGTTTGCATAGGGAAATCGAAACTGTTGGATAGCTCAGTGGTTCAGGTAAATGGCTGGGTAGCCAGAAGTTGGGAGTTCGGTTCCCCACTATGCCTCTTTGTCAGGGGTTGGGCTCCATGATCCATAAGGTGCCTTCCAGCACTGCAGCTGGATGATGATGATGATGACTCCTTTGTTTGCAAATGGCGAAATGCAGCCTGGGCAGGTGGTAGACAACCTGTGGCCCTCCAAATTTTGGTTGGAAGGCAACTTCATTCAGCATGGCTTATTCTGAGAGCCACTGGGATTTGGGGTTCAGTCACTCATTATGGGGACGGTCACAAGTTGCCCACTGCTGAGCTAGTGGGCCAAAGACAGAATGCAGAAGAGGAGATCTTGCACGTTTCAATGTCATGACACTGCCTTGGAGAGAGAGCTGTGCCTACCAAAGTTTTCTCTTCTGCATGGTTGCCCGCGATGTCATGACACTGCCTCGGAGAGAGAGCTGTGCCTACCAAAGTTTCTCTTCTGCATGGTTGCCCGAGAGGTGTGGAAATGTTGCTATTGATAGTAAGTGACTACTGTTGTTGGAGCATCAGCTTTGCACAGGGCAGTCTTTTCATGGAAGCTAACTGTGCTCCTCTGCAGCATGGTGGGAAATGTCTGTGCTGAAGGTTACAGTAATAGGAACATTGGGGTGCTACTCCATGTGGACCATATGTGGCCTTCGCAGGGTCACATGTGGTCCACATGGTTTACAAGACCACTGTGAGCTCTGCAGCCCTGGCTTTGTTGAATTTGAGGTATTGCACTGCTTGATGACCCTGTTGTACTAGGAGGAACAGCTGAAACATCTCCTGCCTAGGCAGGAGGAACCTTGTCAGCCAGACAGGAGAGGAGCAAATTCACTGTGGAACTCTGCTGATAGGTGTCATTGAACTCATCTTCCTTCTGTGTATATATGTACGTTAGTTGCAGAAGTGTGCCTGAATATGGTATTTATGGAAACACATTGGGTCTGCCTTAACCCCCTTTAGTTTCTGGACTTTTTCCTACCATTCTTAAAAGACTTGTAGCAGGTGCGCCTCTATATGCTTAGAAAGTATGTGAAGACATGCATTACACATCAAGAGTCTGAATCCCCCTCTCCTCTTGAATTGCACAGTTCTGCAGAATAAAGGCTGCAATTCTGTGTGGCCCACATTTTTTCTAATAAAAGTTTTTTGCTAATAGTCCTCTCATTGCTAATGTATTATCTAATACAATGTGTATATTCAGAGCCACCCTAGGTGCCGGTAGAGAAAGAGAGGGAATAAATATAATGTAAAAGTGTTGCAAACATGTCAATAAAAAGGCAAGCAAACCAGCGAAATTCAATGCTGGTCTCTAGAATTTTATTTACAAACTACCAATGTGGTAATTGTATAACAGATGTTGTTCTGCATTCATAAATAGATTTCATTTTGCTATTTCTGTGGCATCTGCAGATGTACAACCTTTTTTGTCTTGGTGCTTCTCAGTAACACCTTATTACTTCTTTTTAGATATGAGAAACAGGTTTAAAGATAGGGAATTTGCCAAAAACTATTCAGTAAGTCTTCTGTTGGAATGGCGATTGTGGTTAGGTTTCTCTGGTCCAAATCTAGTGTTGCCAAAATACATGGGAACTTCTGCTAATTGCCAGTGGTCCTACCGTGAAGTCTGATGGGAAGTTGCAACATCTGTCTCCACCATGTCAGCTGAATGCCAGAAAAGTTGATGCTATAAAAAATGTATTGCTGTTTATAGTGCCCCAAGACTTTAGTAATTTTTGGAATAGACTAACATGGCTATTCTGGAAAATGTGTAACTTGAAGAAATTAACATACAGACTGGAAATGAAACCAATGTTTCTAAGCACATCTCAGCATTGTGGAATGGAATAATAATTTGTAGAACAATGCTCTTAAGACAAGCCACATCTTGGACCTCTGCATCTTTACTCAAAGATCTGTATCTTTATTCAAAAGTCAATCTCACAGAAAACATGTGAAGGAATACCAAACAAATCCTCCTACAAAGGATGGCAAACAAATGAGAAAAAAAATTCTCATTCATATTATTCCTGTTCTCATTTGTACTAGGAACTTGGGTGGGTGGATCTTGTACGTACAAAGCGTTTGACTAATTAGAAGTCCAGATAAATGAACACATCATTGATGCTAGTTACATTAGCTAGCTGATGCATGAGAGGCTTACTATTCCTTTGGATAAGCTCAGCCAGTAAAGGAGTTTATTGAGTATAACAGATGAAACAAATATTTAGATCCTGCCTGTGGATTCAGAAAATATCTTTTTTTTTCCAGAGCTAAGTTTTTATTTAAAAGGCTTTATTTGTTCACTGTAGATTTAGGGGATATCTAAGATAGATTTGAAGATGAGTTAATTGGGCAGCTAAAATTAGGAACTGAGGGGAAACAGGACAGTTTCTCCCTTAGTTTCCTCATAGGGGTAATTTTGTTGGAGCTCAGTGTGCGCACGAAGGTATACAGCAGAGTGTATCTGTCAAAAAGATATTGTATTCCCAGCTTAACTGAAAAAAATGTTCAAAGTAGGTGTGCCAGTCCTTCTTAGATCAAAGTCATTTGAAGTTAATGGAAGTCTTGTGAGGCAGAGGTGTGAAAGGAGCTAAATGTGGACTAGATTGAATGTCAGGAATATGTATTAGAATATGAATTAGAAACAGTGATGCGACACATACAGCACCCTATTATTATCCATTATCTTAGCAAGCTGTTATTAGATGAAAAAAGCACTTATGTTTCCAAGGGTACCTCTCATTTAAAGAAGAAAAGAAGCCTGTTGAGCTAAAACATTATTCCCATATATAAATTAAGAAATACAGCTTTTCTGTATGGTTTACCAAGGGCTTCTACTCAATGTCCATTGATGTATGGTAGATGAAAGCATGTTGCTGGCCGTTCATGTTTGAAGCAAGAAGCTGTACACCTGTGCTTCATAATAAATGTGTTTGTATTTACCTCTTATTTTATCTGCAGTTTTGAAGGACCTGAGCTAATTATTTTTCTGCTACTAGATAACTGTGATCTCTATGATGAGAGTTGTTGATCGAATACAGGTACAAGGTTGGAGAGGTTGCTGTACGACTTCATCACTCCATGTAAAAGGATGATCTCAAGATGGTGAGAGTAGCAACTAACAAAACAGCTGAAAATGAATATTTGAAAGGCTCCTTTGTCTTTCCACAAGGTTTTAGACAGCAATATCTATGTGTGAGACATGAGGCGAGAGGGTAGAAGCTCTCGCCAGATTGTCATCCTCCCCCAGAAAGGAGCAGGAGGCTCAGACAGACCCGCCTACGCCACCTGTCAAGACTATACAACGGGGAGTTGGTACCCGTGAGCTAGAGCGGGAACTGTCAAAGATGACAGTGGCCACTCAGACTGGGGGAGAATTGGTGGGAAGAGAAGAAAGAGGGAGGTCCATCGTGGAGGCAGGAATGGGGGATATAAAAGGAGAGGTGGATGTGATACCAGGGGGTTGGGAAATGATTTGGGTGGAAGACCCATAGACCAGAAAATGGGAAAAGGTATGGGTCCCTAGAGAGGAAGCGGACTATCGGAGGAGAAGGGGTCTACCACCACGCCCTTCCTATTGGGGAGAGTCTGAAGCCCGAGAGTGGCGCCGGAGACTCTGGGAAGAAAAGGAGGCAGTGGAAAGGGAAGAGAGAGAATGACGATTATGGTCTCTAGAGGAAGCCCAGAGGAGGGGATTCCTAACGGACCGTGGGGCCCCTGTCAAGGAGAGGAGAACCCCTTTGAACCAGTGGGGGGAGATGAGGAGATCACCCCATTATTAGATCCAGAGACTGAACCTGTTGAGTTGGAGAACAGTAACCCCTTTTTGAAGGGACCTTGGAATAACTTAAACTATAATCCGTTTGATAAAGACGTTTGGATGCCCTCATGGGACCCGTTGCTCACAAGAGACAATGCCAAAATAGAGATTGATTACACAGACCTGTTGTCCCATGTTTCAATAAAACCTAGTTCTGATTTTCAAAAATGGACGTCTCCAGTGTCTCTGTTGAAACCAGAGGAGGTAAAGTTTGAACCCTCACACTATTAAGGCTGGGACCTGCAAGGAGATCCCATTTTGACTGATTAACACAATTGATTGTTTAACATTGTAGAGAGTGAAAGGATGAAACACTATGAACCTTTATGAAGCAGTCAACATATGACTCAGGTTTCGTTGAGACAAATTTTGAACTATATTAGCTTGGGCATGAAGTCAGAAATACTGAAAGTTGGAAAACCCATGTGTGGATAGTGAGTGGAAATGACAGATGATGATTGGATGGAATTTCTTCTTAAATGGTTTTCCCAGGTTGAATTCTTCAGCATCTACTCATTTGGGTCAAAGTTAGGTGACGAACAGAGTAAAGGCAATTGCACATGTGAACAGTGCCTATGAAAATGAGAGCAAGAGTTTTGCTGAAGGTTTATGAAATTAGTATGGTCTAGAGGTGGTGACAGAATGGGGTTTGGAACAGACTGGCATTTGAGCTGGAATGTTATGGCATTTGCAAGATCATAGCACTGAAGGAAAATGTGAAAGCACATCTGCCCAGCCTGTGGAACACCACATCATATGCAGCCTGCCGTCTGTTTCATGCTTTCCTCCAGGTGGCAGCTGAATTAACAGGAGACAATAGGCATGGCCTAATACATGATCCTGTGAAATTCTTGCTAAGTGAAAAGGTATGAAGGTTTTTTTTCATTGTAAATGAGAAGGTATAAATATGGCAAATTGGATTCTTGTTTTATCAGGTATGATTTGGCATTGGGTGTTGCGCTAATGATGGAACT